GGATGACCACACAGCTTCTAGGGCCCAAGGCAAGATGAAAGTGCCCGGCCCCTGGTCCGAAAAGGTAGTAAGAATTCTAAGACAGCAGAACATCAAGGCAGGTGCGGGCCTGCTGAGCATGGAGCTGGGGGCCTGAGCACAGGCCGTCTGCTCCTGAAAGGGGCCCTGGGTGCAGGACCGAAGGGTGCGGTCGGGGAGCAGAGGTGGTACCCGGAGGACCTAAATGTCCCCTTGGCTGGCCCAGCCTGGGCAAACGGCTCAATCTGTCTGTTTCCGTTTTGTCCTCGGAAAAAGGGAACTTATATAAGCCTCACTCCCCAAGCTGCTGGGAGAAGGTGATAAAATCCAGCAAAGCTCCTAGAAGCTGCGTGACGGACACCAGGGCCCAAACCCCAGCTTCACCGTCTCCGACGTGTGACTCGGATACGTTGCCTGGTCCCTCGGCCTGTCTCAACCGTGCAGCAGAGATGCTAAAGCTTCTGCCTCGTGAGCTGCTGAATCTGCTCAGAGCCCCGACCAGGGGTGAAGCGGCCGGCCCCGTGGCCGGCACACAGGGAGCTGTGGGCAAGCCTCAGCCCTCCCCCTGCTACCACCGGTCACGCAGGAGCCCCAGGAAGACAGCCGCTTGTCCCCAGCTGGGGGAATACATGGCGGGAGGGGTTATTGCTCACGGAGGGCTCCGGGCCGGGGGCTCTGCAGAGCACAGTACTTACTACTGTGCAGCCACACTTCTGTCCTTTGCCCAAAGGCCGGCGTGGCCGCCAGTGTAAACAGTGCTGTTCTCAGCAGCCGCTGGAGGCACCAGGCAGGGGTGTGGACACTGGTGTGTGCCTGCCTCCCCCCACCCCCAGCCAGGGCAGCAGGATGAGAAGAGACAAGGATAAGAAGGAAACTGGCGAGGGACAGTCCCCCAAGCAGGGTTGAGGGCCTCCAGACCCCATAAATGCTCTCTGGCAGCAGGGAGACAGTTGAAATGACAGTGAAAGCTGCAGTGTACACATCGGATCCCGTTCCAGACACTTCACATAAATGACCTCGCTGAGGCCCCCGAAGAAGGAACTATTCTTATTCCCATTTTATAGATGAGGAAACTGAGACTTTGAGCTCAAGAGCTTGTCCAAGGTCACAGCTCCAGGGGGTGGCGGAGCTGTGGTCACTCTGGTATCAGAGCTCCCTCGAGCACACGGCACCGGCCCTCGTCACAAAACGACCCTGGTGACCCTGTCGGGGTCGGGGAGGGAGGGCCGGCCCCAGGCACTGCTGCCCACAGCAGGCTGGGGCCCGGCCACCACTCAGCCCCTCCCTGCAGGGCCAAATCCTCTCTGAGATAACGGGAAGGTGGCCCCCCACCTCTAGGCATCAGGATTGAGAGAGGACACGCTCCCTATGTGTCACCCTGGCTCTGGCTGGCTCCTCCCAGGGCTGGGTGCCCCAGCGGCCAGAGGCCATCAGCTTGAGGAAGTGGGTCACGCAGGGTCGTGGACACCTGCCAACCCCACAGCCTCCTTCCTGTGCTCGATGGTGTTTATGGCTCTTGGATCATTTGCCCCTGTTTAAGGAAAAAAGAGATCTTTTCAAGAATTTACGAATCCTCGGAAATGGGCCATCTCTTCCAACCGGCACCGGGAGATCTTCTCTGAAGGAGGCAGCAATCCGACACCTCTCCACCCCCAAGGCCTCCTGGACACACGCCCCGTCCTCTGGACCCTCTCCTCTCAGGCCAGATAAACAGAGGACACTGGGTCCCACTGTGGGGAAGGTCACACAGGTAAAGCCCAGCCCCTAACAGCTGGCTGTGACCCGCGCTGGCCGAGGGGAGGACGGAGGGGCCCCGTGCACAGGAGGATTACGGTTCTTTGTTCTTCTTAATGCACCAGGGAAGCCAGAGTGCAGACAGGAGAAAGAGAGCTGGTGGGAGAGAGACACAGAAGACAGAGGGTAAACGGCAGTGACAGCACCCCGGTCACACAGCGCCTCACCCCCCCGCCCGTGTGCAGACTCCGGGCTGAGAGCATCTCAGCCCCAAGCCTGCCCGTCAGGGAGCCTGGATACACTTCCTCAGCGGCGGGGCCTGGCGGCCCTCCTGGGAAGGCACCCCAGATAGTGCCCGAGAGGAAGCAGCTGACTCAGCATCTGCGCTGTGCTGCCAGGGCTGAAGCTAGAGATCCCGCCCCATGCACACGTGCGCACACACACGTGCACAGGCGCACACACAGACACATGCATACGCCCAAAGCCTGCCCGTCAGGGAGCCTGGATACACTTCCTCAGCGGCGGGGCCTGGCGGCCCTCCTGGGAAGGCACCCCAGATAGTGCCCGAGAGGAAGCAGCTGACTCAGCATCTGCGCTGTGCTGCCAGGGCTGAAGCTAGAGATCCCGCCCCATGCACACGTGCGCACACACACGTGCACAGGCGCACACACAGACACATGCATACAACGCACATACACACACAGACGCGCGCACACACACACACATACACACAGACACACACAAACACATAGAAACACACAGACACACACAGACACATACACACACAGACGCACACACACATACACATACACACACAGACGCACACACACATACACATACATATACACACAGACACATGCATACAATGCACATACACACAGAGACACACAGACACACACATACACACACAGACACATACACACACAGACGCACACACATACACATACATATACACACAGACACATGCATACAACGCACATACACACACAGACACATACACACACGTACACAGACGCATACACATACACATACAACATACACAGACGCGCGCGCACGCGCGCGCGCGCGCGCACACACACACACACACACACACACACACACACACACACACAGCAGCTCCTGGTCTGAGCGAGCGATGGGCCTTCCCCCTCCACCCTCCCCTCCGCCACACCACAGAGGTTTCCACAGCTGCCTGATTCATAATAACTGCAAATCTTCCAGCCCGGTTCAGTATTTTCCTTGATGACTCTGTTTCCTTGGTAACCAAGCCTGACAAGGCCCTGGCAATTATCTGCTATCTGACGAGAGGAACGTAGGAAAGGCCGCTGAAGGCTGACAGTGCCAAGCGTGCATCAAAGGAAGGGTGACTCTGAATTACGGATCAGGGTCCCAGCAACGGCCCCGGGGGATGCCCTCTGGGGATGTGACGTTCCCTCCAGGTGGACTCCAGCCGAAACCGGGGCCTCTGGCCCACACACTGGGGGGGTCCCCAAAGCCTTTCTGAGTTCCAGGTCCCGGTGGGCAGCACACACAAGTCAGAGCCTCCTGGCCAGCTTTTGCCTGCGCCTTCCTCTTGCCCCTCGACTTCCTTCCTCCTCCTTTCTGGACTCACTGCCCCGGCTCCCGCCCAGGGCTTTAGGCACTGGCTCACGGATGACACACTAGGCTAACAAGGCCCCTGACCCCTTGCTGCCCAAAGACAACGGTAGACAGAAAGCAAGGAAACCATCTACCGCTAGTTTACGTGGGTTTAGGCTGGTTTACTGGCATCTGTGGTTCTCAGCTGGGGCAAGCTTGGCCCCCCGGGGGGCACCAGACAAAGTCTGGAGACAGTTTTGATAGTTGGGACTGAGGGGCAGGCAGGGAAAGGCTCGGAGCTACTGGCGTCCAGGGGGTGCAGGCCAGCGATGCTGCTGAACTCAACTCCACAATGCACAGGGCAACCCCCAGAGCACGGTCTGGCCCCAAGTAACAGTGCCATGGTCGGGAAACCCTAACCGGGATGCCCACTCTTTCAGCAGCTTCTGCACCATCTTTCTTTAAATAAAAACCCATCTTAGGAAATCAACCATCCATCATCAATGGTGGCCTACTGGGGGGAAAGGGCCCTTTTCAAATAAAAAGCACAGGAGAATCTTTGCAAAGATCCCACCCAACGAGATGCAAAAGAAAGTGGGAAAGTCCAGGTCCTGTCACGCAGACTAAGGTTTAAACCCAAAGTTGATTCAAGGGTTGTGAGCCTGGGGCCTATAGACTTCGGGGCGGGGGAGGGGGGACTGGCAGAAATTGTGTGCGAAATGCCTGTCTGCGCACCTCTGGGTGAAATGGGTTCATAACTTTCATCAGGGTTTCAAAGGGGGAAGTGACTCAGAAAAGTCTGAAAACCAACCATCTAGATCCCATTAGCTCTGACCTGCACGCTGCCAACTCCAGTCTCTCTTGACCAGAACCCCTGCCATGGCCCCCCTGCTCTCATAACGCACAGCCCATAGGCCTCCCCTCTTTGGCAGTCTCAAAGGGGAGGTACCAGGGCCCCACAGACACCAACAGACAACAGACACGTGGACACCTTCCCAGCCTGAGACCCTGACCTAGGCCCCGCCCAGCGTATGCAGCAGAGACCGACCTGTGTTACCTGAACTTCACTTGGGTTGGTCACTCGGTCCAGGCCGTAGTCCAGCACGTCATTCATTCCCGGCTGAGTGGGAAACAAAAAGAAAAAACATAAGAACCGCTGCTGGGAGAGTTTCTGGTTAACTCTGGATCTTGGTCAAGCTGCCAATCGTGAGACCAAGCTGAGGGTCGTGGCCCAGCCTGTGGGGAGCTACAGGGGTGTGTACGATTCTCCAGGTGAGCTGGTGAGTTTCATGGGGCTATTCCACCACCACAGCATCCCCAGAACCTAAAACAGAGGGATGGAGAGAGGGATGGAGGGAGGGAGGATGGATGGGTGGATGGATGGATGGATGAGGGGTGGGTAGGTAGACGGATGAATGAGAGGGTGGGTGCACAGATGGATAAACAACATGCAAACTCAATCAGAGTTCACTGGGATTAGCACGTGGGACTCCCGACTCCCTTCCCGCTCTGCAGTTCACTGTGTTGGAGAGTCCAGGCTTCCGTCAGGCACCCAGAGGTTCCAATCCCAGTTCTGCCACTTCCCAGCTTTGAGGAAGGTCTTGGAAACTACAGCTGCTCTCTGCCCCCTTCCGACCGCTGAGAACTGCAGACGGTCCCTCCTGCCTGTCAGGGTCTTGTGAGGATTTAGCACACGATGGAGTGTGATGCTCTCAGCAGAGCGTCACTGTTACCAAGCAAAGGCTGTGTTCATCGTGAGGGCGCGTGTGTGAACACCTGGCCCAAAGCTGGCCTCAGTGTCTGCCTGTCTCCACCAGGCCTCCCCAGCCAGCCCCGCTCAGTCTCTCAGCCCATCGAGGCCAGCAATTCGGGTCTTCCACCTCCTCTGTTTGGTCTGGTACAAAGAAATCCCCCCAGGGTGACGGAAGACAGACATCACACACACACACTCGCATACTCCCACACTGCTCACATGTACACACTCACTCTCACACTCAAAGACTCGCTCACGTGCACACACCCCCTCCCACTCACAGCTCACATCATCACTCTTTCGCACTCTCACAGGTATGCACTCACACCCGAACGCAGCCACGTGTGCTCACATTTGCAGCTCACACACGTACGTACCGGCACAGCCACACACACACACACATACGCGCACACACACGCTGCACCCCTCGGGGCCCCTGCCCCCCAGCAGGCCCTCCAGCCTCAGGGGCTTCCGTGCAGTCGTCTGCTCGCGTCTTGGACCCCTTCTCCAACTCTTGGCTCTGAACTTGATCCACACTCTGATGTGAATTCAGCTGCTCCACGGTGCGCCTGTGTAACCGGCGCAGGACCCTGAGCTGGAGCCGCCCGCGGGCCTTGTCCTGCGGCCGGTCCCCGCCGGCCCCTCCAGCCTCCTCTGGCCACCCCGCCGGCCCTCCCCACCTCTCAGCTGCTCCCATCGAGCTGCAGTCCCACCCCGGGGCCCTGCCTTCAGACCTCTCCACGGGGCTGCCTTTCTCCTGCTGCTGTTTTAGGAGACTCTCAGGCTGCATTCGCTCACACTCATTCATTCATTCACTCATTCCCTTATCCACTGATTCATTCACTCACACCCTCATTCATTCATTCACTCATCCCCTTACCCACTCATTCATTCACTCACACACGCATTCATTCATTCCCTCATTCCCTTATCCACTCATTCACTCACACACATTCATTCATTCACTCATTCCCTTATCCACTCATTCATTCACTCACGCACTCATTCATTCATTCACTCATTCACTCATGTACTCACTCATCATGCACTCATTCATTCATTCATGCATTCATTCACCCACTCACTCATTCACTCATGCACTCATTCATTCATCCACTCATTCACCAGGTAGCATGGGGGTCTCTGTTCTCCACAACAGTCACCAGAGCCACCGCTGACACAGTTTCTGGGATGCAAGAGGCAGCTGGAACGCAGATACCGCAGAGCTGACGGTCAGCGCACAGGACACAAGGGCCACGGTGGGTAGGCGGTGGGCTGTCAGCAGACAGGGAGCCGTGCAGCCGCGTGCAGCCCGGGCCAAGTGCAGGAAGCCCCCGCCTGCCCAGAGACGCCAATCCCACCACCACCCCCTCCAACCGGAGCGGGTGGTGGTGGCCAAGGCATGGTGCCTGAGAACATCCCTGATGCAAAAGCCGAAGAGACAATTTGCTAACGGCTTCTTAACTCAGGTTAGGAAAGGACCCTCGTACCCCCAAGGGCTGCCCACGAGGAGGGGACAGTCCCAGAGCCGGCATCCAGAGCAGGGCCGGGGTGGGCTCTGGTGCCACGTCCCGGTGACACGTGGCTGCACCGCATCCCTCCCGTCCCTTGTCTTGTTCTCTCCTCTTCTCACCATTACTCTCTCCCCTGACGTACAGTTTAGACCTTTCTGGTGCGCGGCACAGAAAACAAAGAACAAATAAAACACCAGATAGTTTTAAAAACAAAACAAAACAGGGGACAGAGAGAGAGAGATGAGTTTGACGCAGGGAGACACCCCTATGTCACAGCATTTTCGTCAGGTCCATGGGATCAGCCAGGCTCAGGGCTTAACCCAGGCACGTGGCAGGTGCTCAGCGGCCTTCGGCTGTTACATCACGCCCAGCGCCCGGCTCCCCGGCTGGTGCAGACTCAGGGCCCCAGGAAGGTTTCGCGGATCCAGGGACAGACAAACGAACAGGGGATGAATCTGCTCAGTAAGTATGGCAGCTGGCTACAGTCACCCCACCCAGCCAAATGCTTTGTCTGCCCGGCTGGCTCCTTCCCACCCAGCTGACAGTGTGTCTGGGGCCCCTGGAGACGGTCTGACGGCCCCCAAGCGCCTGGGCTGCTGCGTTGTCAGTCAGATTGCTCAGTTTCCAGCCAAGACAGACTTCAAGCCGGATGCTCTTCAAACGGGACGCATCCGTCATCCTGACACTCTTGGGCCACCGAGAGGCTGAAGGCTTTATGAAAGTCAGGGAGAGAAGGAGCCAGGGCCACCCGGCCCCGGCCCCGACTCCCGGTCCGGTTTTGGGCGAGGGGATCAGCAGTGAGAGGGCCGGGGCGGGGAGAGAGGTTTTGTGTCCGGGGAGCTTCATGTCTGCTCCAAGCACAGCAGGCTTCCTTCTGCACGTGGCCCCCGCAGTGCCGCCAGTGAGGGAGAGGCACCTCTGAACCCGGCACCATGTGCGTGAGAGTGGCAGCAACCACGTGATGCTCTAGCGACCAAGGAGGTGACAAAAGGCCGTAAACGCACAACATCACGTGACACTGTCACCGGAGGCAAAGGAGCACGGAGGCCAGGAGGGAAGGCTCTGCAGTCTGTGGGTCCAGGTGGCCCGGTGCTCACTCACTGGCTGTCGCTGGCAAGTGAGCAGCAGCCCTGGGCCTCTGCTTCCTCACCAGCAAAACGGGACTCATTAAATAGTCTCTCAGGTAGGGCCGCAGAGATGGAACGAGACAGCGCGTGCAGAACGATGCTTGGCGCACAGCCCGGGGCACCGCAAGTTCTCCACTCAGGTCTGCGGTGACGGTGACCGTGACAACGCAGGTGATGGAGGTGGAGGAAGTGGGGACCGTGCGGGAGGCGGTGGTAGAAGCCACTGTCAAGGACACACTGTTGAACGTCTGTGCTTCTGTATCACACAGGGAAGGGCCACTCGGCCACCTGCCCGGCGTCGGGGCCGAGAGCTGCCCCAGGAGGCCTGGGAACAACGCAGATAATCTGCTTCTCGTCATGTCCCTGTAGACCTCCTGGCTGCAGGGACAGAGGAAAGGAGAGGGTCCCAGGGCAGCTCGTGTGCGCAGTCAGACTGTCGCCTGGCAAGGGATGCAGGCACACGGGCGTCCCACAGCATGGAGTCTCCACGCGTGATACGGAGGCCGTTTTCCACCCTACAAGGAGCAGGACCGCCTCGGTCATGGGTGCCACGGGGCACCAGCGCCTCTTACCACCTGAGAGGCTTATCCACCATTCGCCATTCTCCTCACCAAGGGTTTCCCCCCCCCC